TGTGACGTTTTGATTGTTACATGCAAGGCTCAGGACGTTTTGAAATTCACCTTGATTTACCTTAATTCACCTTAAAAGCAAATGGCACGATTATCGACCTAAAATACTGGCAGAGCCCCTTGTAGTGGGGAAACGGCGAAAGAACGAGGTAAAACGGTCAAAGAATGCGAAGAAAACCCTTCGTTCTTTTAATGACTTAGAAAGCGATTTCGGACGAGTTTCCCGTACTTTTTTACTTTTACTCGGGTACTTTTTTGGAAAGGGCGCTACGCAGCGCCTGCTCAGGATCGCGGAATTGCGTCTTGCTAGGCATATTATCCCCACTCGTCTTGAGGATTTATCGTGCCAACTGCCTTTAGGTTTACCTCTTTACTGAGCCGTTTCTAAGTGCATATTTTTCATTTCAGCTTCAATTTTGTCTCCAAATAGGATGTACTATAGCTCTTCTAATACTATTTCCCTGACATCCTTTGTGGGGTGCGGAGCCCTTATAGGACTTCCCTCGCTGCACGGGGCAGATGACCCTTTCCAAATAGGAAGAGAGGACGCTCTGAGTTACCGGGAGGGGAGGAGGAGGGCGTATTTGGTCTAGAAGATTTCAAAAGCGGTGATTCTGCCGTTTTAGGCACGTCGTGCTATTTATGCCGCCTGTCCGGTGTCCTGAGGTTTTGCTATCTCTCTTTTGTGCTCATCTTTATCCCTCTCTCTCTCTCTACAGATGCCTTTGATCACTCGAAATAGCCTTGACGGTTTTGGAGGGCATTTACCGAGCTTCTAATGCAAAACCAGAATTACCATTGTGTAGATGAGATCATTTGCTTAGGAAATGAGCTTAGTGGGAGAATCAGTTCGAAGCATTTTGGTTCTATTCGGATGAAGATAGTCCTAGTTTTCCTCTAGGTGTTCTGCCTCCCCCCCTAAGAGACTTTGAAATTTTCCCCATCAGGATGACAATGCTTTTGACATGATTTCTTTCATCTTCGTTTTTCATCATTCGTGAGCTTTCCTCTCTCGGGAGCTACAGTTGATATCGTCGTAATCCGTTCGGTCAGGAGTGGAATTAGCTTGCCTGCGGCTGCATTTTTTACCAATGGCGGCCACTCCAGCTAGAAAACTAATAGTAGTAGAAGACGCAGTGGATGGGCCCATTCCACGCCTCCTGACACGAGATTGCGACATACCCACTGTATTTGTCTTGCTCGCTTGAATCTGAACTTCTCCTTTTCACTCAGCGGCTGCAGAGCGAAGCTATTTTCGCTCAGAGATAGGATCGTTTCGCGAGATGACGATTGCTGAGAGAATGCAGGCCGAATCAGAGGAGAACAATGGGCTGAAGGCAAGTTTTTCCGGCAGCACTCATGCAAGCGATGCCACACGCGATTGCTAACAGAAAAAGAAGAGAAAAGAATTGATATTAAAGCTCGAAGCAGTGACCCTTCCCTCTGATTAATTAATTTGATTACAAGGGAAAGTTGGCCTAAAAAGTTGAATTCCAAACCACATAAGGAACTTCCAGCCAAGATGAGAGCAGCAATTATGTCTTCACTTCATTTAGGGAACGGCACGATGGTGGCGTGGGCGAACACCTTTAGAGAAGATTCTGTTGTCGATTGTGGCATTCTTCGTCTTACTCACAGCCGTACTCATAGCTGTGGTATTGAACATGGACAGTAGGCAGCGTAGGTTTTCAACTTTTTACTACTCGTTCCTCTAGCAGTTACTTTAGTCATCTCGAAAAATCGCTTTCAGACGATAGGATACACCACTCTACTGTGAAACCACCAACACAGCGGAATTTGTCCACAACGACGTCATCGCCTCCTGCTCCTCCTCCTCCTCCTCCAACTCCATCACCGGAACCGCCTGTTTGCACGACGATAGGCTGCGTTCGAGCGGCAAATAACATCGTATGTTGATTCAATAAATTCACCCTTGGGATGTCCCGGAAGATTTGGAATTTATTTTGAGGACGTGCTTATCATCTCATTCAGACTTTGGGGGATTTTGCACATTCGGCTTGGTGGTGGCATTTGTCGAATTCACAGCCGAAGTGAGACGTGTAAAACTTACAAATCGTCAATCAGACAAGGAAGCTAAGCCGAAGAAACTAGCGAAAAGCGCAAAAATGGTGCCCCTCCGAGCCAAACAGGCTGTTTTTTCGCGAAGTTCTCGTCAGTAAGATCACCTTGACTAGAAGTTTGCTAGGGGTCCCTCAAGTCAAGCAGATGAAAAGCAAACGAGAGTGAAATGCCGATCTGGGACCCACTCGGGACATAGTATTACTAGTTAAATCGAAATTTAGACAATAACTGCGAGTCAGGGTCATATATGTTTTTTTTTTGCTTCGTTGATTGAGAATACAAGGGTCAAGGAGATTTGAATAACGCTTCTGCCATCTTTTATATCGATGGCCTTCATAAAAAGCAAAAGTTGATAACCCTGCTTTTCAAGCCTGAACTTCAAAAATACCTTCTGCTGAAAAGCGCGAAGTTATACGAAACGGGTTATCCAGTTGATTTTGCAGATAAACGCTCTGAATACGTCTGTGAATCCATGCGAGGATTTTTACGAATTCGCCTGTGGATCATGGAATGAAGATCACCCGATTCCAGATGATATGTCGGCTTTTGGGACCTTCTCGTTTGTACGGGAACAAGTTCGGCAGCAATTACGAGGTAAATATCGAAATAATTCACGATTCACATCTCCGGTCGAAAGCTTAGGCATTTGTATGATGAGACAGAGCTACTTAGGCAACGTTAAGACATCGCGATAAGGCGCTGTAACGCGCTGTGAGGCGCGTCGACGCGCTACGAAGGAGCGTTCAGACATTTCGACGACGTGCGTTGACGCGCATTACAGGGCGACGCGTGTCATCGAACAGTCTGAATGTGCCTCAGTACGCAAGTCATGGAACGGGGCTTTAGTTTCGGGTTTCAAGATCAGATAATGTTGGAACCTAGGCACTATTAAGAGCTTAGAAGATGTTACCTAATAGTTAAGTTCACAGGTCAATGAGCGGGATCAGCCCTGTTGCTGAACCCTCCGAACTACATACAGTCTCCTTCACGTTCACAGTAGACATTGCGATACACTCTCTACGATACGTTCCTGTTCATTATTTCCCCATGCAATTTGAAGTTCTTTTTCTCTTCTTTTTTTTTGTTCATTTGTTGATTCTTCACGTGCGCTGTACTCCCCCTACTCCTTATTTGGCGTCGCGGCAGAATTATTTCTGGCACGCGATCGGGGATATCTACCCTCGCTCAGCTCGACGGCAAAATTGTAGGAAAAATTGTTGAGGGAAGGTGGTTTGAAAAGTGGCCGCAAAGAGGAAGAAAATTTGGGAGAGAGGATAATATTCAGCTGAAATTTCCCCATCATGATGGTGTACTCTCATTGTTCTGTCCAGTTACAGTATTGAATTGCAGTATTGTTGGAGCAAGAAGTGAAATCAGAGTCCACTTCGATCAATATGGCCCGAATAGCGTACAAAACTTGCATGAACAAAACACAACTGGAGGAGTTGAAAACGAGGTGAGTCATTCTGTAGGACTTCCCAAGTCATTCGGGATTCCTCC